AATTTAGTTTTATTAGCCCCGCCATAAAACATTTTTTTTCCTTCTTCTTCTGTTGCTGTTCACATGTTTTTTTTTCTGTGTTTTGTTATTTTTACTACGATTTTTCCGTCAATCGTTCGTTAGCCGATTGCCTTGTTCGGGCATTAGAAACGGGGAACGAAAACTTGAGAACGCAGAAGGTAGTTTCCAAATGATGAGCGATTGCTTTTGACGTTCGACCAAAGTAAAATGCTTGATGCTGTGCTCAACAATGCGTTTTGACGGCAGCACAAAACACAAGCAATTGTTTGTTGTTTTCTTTTCGAATCCAAATATTGGGACGCATTCATATTTATCTTCGTTTTGCCGATATGTTTTTTTCTTCGTTCGGTGTGATGTCTCACCGAAGCATAGCAACCACTTTGAACACACGCATAACAACAGCAAAAACAAAACAAAAACCGAGCAGCAAATGAACACGCAAACTGCCATTTTCTTGCATCTGATAACGGTTTGTTATTTCAATGCCTTTGATGTTCCTTGACAAGCATCGGGCAATGCATTCTGTAGCATGTTCCACTTCAATGGCAGCAGCATATACGAGGGAAAAAGGAACGGAAAAGGGCAACTCATAATAAAGATTTGCGTACAAACGTGCATACTTTTCTTTCTTTCTCGCTCTTCCTCCTCATTGCCATCTCCTTAAATGGTGGTGGTGCTGTTGCTGCGCTCATTTAGCGCAAAACACCGAGTTTCAATGCACGATAATAAAGAAATAAAATAAACGAGCTCTACGGAGAGTGCAAAATGTACAGAGAGAGAAAAAAGAACAACACACACACACACGCACACCGAATGAGCAATGGAAAATTCTGTGATGTTTTGCCGCCGACACACGCGAAAAAAAGACCTTGCCGTTGCCATTTGTGTGTGCGTTTCATTGAACAAATGTTTAAATCGTTGCTTGTTTTACCTCATGCCCATCAATGATTTTTGTTTTTGTTTGGAAATTATTCTGGAGAATTTTTGCACTTCGGCAAATACAAGGCAAAGAAACGTAGCGAATGCACACATAGAGGAAAATCCAAAAACTCACATGCATTTGTTGTAATCGGAATCATTTCATAACAACAAACACACATTTATTGGTCTCACGTTGATTTATTTGAGCAGAGAGAAAAAAAGGAAGCGAACGGCACACTCAAATGACCATTTATTATTTTCCGTACAGCGCAACAACAGCAGCGCTACTAGTTCAAAAGAGTTTTTCGCAGAAAACTTTCAAGTAGCCGCGGAAACTTGAAAAGAAGCGCACTACTTTTGGAAACTCGAATAAGCCTTTTGTTAAGTCTAGTCGGAGATTCAGTTTTTTTTTCCCGTTGATTGACCATTTTTCTTTTGGTATGCCGATTCAAAATGCATGATTTGTTTATGTGAAATCATTTTTTGTTCGAATCGCTGAATTCGGATTCAAAGTCATAAAACCACCAAAACAGAATGGTTTGCCCGAGTGCGAAAAGTTTCTCGCACCGAATTTGAATATGAATGGAGCTGTTAATTGCACAAACGTCGGACTTTGACGCGTTTTTTCTCGTTTGGGAAGAGTAAATTCCAACGAAAGATTTTAGCGAACATTCATTTTTGGCTTGTTTTCGAAATGTCGTGGGAAAATGTAAGAAATTACATTCCTCGATTTTGACCGAAGAAGATTTGATCGAATTCAGAGTCAGATTGATATCGGAATTATGTTGAAAACCAAAAGACTTTGTTGACTAAAAGTCACGGTTTTGAAAATCGTCAAAAGAAATGGTTCGTCTTGGAATTAGGGCAAAGGTTCATCACTCAAATAATTGAAATAACTGAATCCAGATTTTCGATTTTGAATCTGGCATTGATTTTTGATTTGAACTCAAAAATAGCCGATATTATGTTAGTTGTTTGCAATGAACTTCTCCGCACCTGAAATAGCTGTAATTTAAATCCATACAGCCTAATCTCATAAACATTTTCTCTTCACACAAAGAAAATCACGGATTTCCGGAAGAAATTACAAGTGAAAAAAAAAATATCATTCAATCTCAGGCGCAATAAAAAAAATGAAAAGAGCATATATATTCATGTCGCAGAACAAACAAACACAAGAAAAGTCGTCCATCTTTGCATTTGTTATTGTATCGTAAGTATATCGCAAAGCCGACGACAAATTGCCGGGTAAATTTATTAATTTTATGAACTTCCATCAATAAAACATCTATTTACTTTTCTGTCCTGACTTCATCAAAAGCTCATTTAGTTCTAGATTTAAAGCCGCCCGTCCATTTCGAAAATAAACATAAAAATCTCTTGAAATGTAATCACGTGCATATAAATCTTACCGAAAATCAAGTAATCAACTGTTTAATTCTGCCCGTAAAACCAGACAATGTACGATGAAATATGTGTATAAATAGGCACTGCCTTATGGCTCACTGCAATGTTGATTGAAGTGTTTGAGCACTCTCGAAGTGAATATTGACAAAAAGAGAGACCAACAACAAAAATAACGATGAAATTAATGAACGATGACGCAAGTTCGGCCGAAAAGCGGGCGCACGTATATTAAACATGTCTTAATTTCATATCAACCCAAATAACTTGAATAAGCCAACGATTCGATTGTATATCATATCGATTTTTTTGGACACTTGAAGTTTTTTGTTTTTCCACCGAATGAACAATCATAAATCATGTATCGTGAAATCGATTTTCGTACGAAAATCCTACATGCGATGCGAATCACGATGAATTATTGAAGAAAGTGATTACAAACTAATCGGAGCGGATCTTATAAATAGACAATGGTATTGAGTTGTGGCCCACAACTTATACCTAAATCGATATTATACCCGAATTTGTTGCCTCGATCCATTTTTCACCATTTTGAAAAAGATTCGGAATTTAGAAAATCCAAATGAGATACAAATTATGAGCAATCAAAGGAAATAAAACAAAAACTGATTTAGTGCTCAATCCGTACGATTGCCGTCGATATACTTTATATGGAGAGCCGGTCTTATATGTGCTTATTGAAATAGAGACGGCTGTAAAAGGATTAGAAAATGATTGGTTGTTTTCTTTTTTTTTTGATTTATTGTTTGCTTGAGAAAAATGCCTTATTGCTCATTTTCTATGTCTAAGTCCACGTACTCCTTCGGATAATCTTGATAATATTATTTAACTTAAATTGCTTAGGCGGCTGAGAGAGCGTGATGATCAAACAGCCATTTTACTGCCTTTTCTCACACTATGACGGCACAACCGAGCCAATTCGATTCATTAGAACAGCCTATCGTTTGTTACGATTATTGTATGTGCGTCGTTCGTTTCTCTCGTCTTCTTTTTTTCCATCTACACATCGTCATCAAAGCGATGGTCAATTTTGATGAAGCCCACATGGAAAAAGTATGGATAAAAACGGTCAAGAAGCATAAAAAATGGTCGGTTCAAAACCGATTAGACGTTTTAATCAAATGAATTTCAAGCGAAACCACATCAAAAAAAACGGCGACGACGGCTCGTTTCGTCAAATGATTTGAAATCGTTGCGCTTATAAAGATGTTGAAGAAGAAATGACGAAAGATGACACGTAGCAATAGATTGTGGTGCTTTGTGCGGCGTTCATTTGAGCAATGTGCTCGACAAATGAAAATTGGTAATCCGTGTGTTGACAGAATGAGTGAGATACAGCGAGAGAGAGAGAGAGAAAGAAAACGACATGCAAATGTCGGTTAAGGATAGCATCGGCTTCGCTTAGACATTGTGTGATTTCCATAAAAGTAGCATAAGGTTATTCATTTGTCATTTATTAAATCGCTGGCTTGGTTGCTCGCGCGCGCGCACGCACCATGGATTGGTGCCGCGTTGACTTTGTGATACCAAAAACCCATTTTGTTGTTAATCACACGCCGCATTTACCCACACACACATTTCTCTCTCACTCTCGCTCACTCGAACTGGTGGACTTTTGTGTTATAGAAAATGTGATACTAAATGACGCTTATTATTTGCGTATGATTTATCGCGTACCTCTCTAATCAAATAGAATTATCAACATTTCATCGTCAAAACGAAATCAAACGACAAATGGCATGGAAGAGCACGGCGGTTGTGTGAGGGAGACGGATATCGCATCAGACTAGACTGAAGAAGAGGAACACTTGAACGTCAACACTCGGAAAGAATTACTTTGAAAATCATCTAAAAGGCTAAGCCGCGCACAATTCCAATTTTCTTCTTTTTTTTTCATTTGAAGTTTACTTTTTTCTTCTCGGATGACGTTTTCGTGTGAATCAATAGTCGGCAAAATGTTTGTTGAGCCGCAAAGAGCCAAAAGAAGAAAAAAAAACACTTCGTCCAAATGTTGGCAACAATAACAAAAAAATATTGGATATGGCAAAGCAAATTTTATTAACGAGGGATTATTATCTAATGCATGGTGTGATATCATCAACGACATGCCTTGCTCAGTTCAATCATTCGTTCCATCAAAAATACCAGCCAGTGCGATCGAAATCATCGCGAATGCTGTGTGCTATGTGTACGCGTTCATTTTGTTGGCCATTGGGATTGGCTACATCATGCAAGCTGAATTCGAAACGCTTCCATATTAACAAATGCCTGTTTAAATACTTCAAATGAACATAAAACAGGCTCCACCCACCGTTTCTACGACTACGCACATGTGTCTTTTGCTCGGCACATATATCGTAGAGCGTCGCGTACATGGAGGAATCGCGCGCTCAAAGAAACTCTACGAAGAGACCCAAAGAGCAGACAAGTTCGGTTTGCATGTGTGCGAACGAACGAACGAAAGAAGGAGTAACACAAAAAAAAACACAACTGAATACAACAGCACATCGTGCCAGTCCCGTGTGGAGGCGAACAACTGTGTCGAGCGCGTCGGTGTATGCGTGCCCTGTGTGTGTGGTGTGGCTTTGTCTGTATAGTCACTCACACCAAGCCATTTCTGTTCAAGTTGCGGTAAATAGGCTTTGACATGAATTGATGCTTATTTGAATTTTACCTGATGCAGCAAAACGGTATCGTCGTTCTGCGAATTGAGTTCAGTTTAGCCGTAAACGTAGACTCAGTCACTGCTGTCACATTGTGCTCTCGCCGCACACACAATCGACACAAAAGTTGAACAGAATAGAGAGAGAAAAAAATCTGTTTGTTGTTTTCTTTTTTCTGAATCCATTCATTTAAACAAGAGCTACAAACGTATAAGCATCATTATTTCCGAATAAAATCACTGGTGATTTCAATTGCATGCAGTGTAGTTTTAGTGTGAAAAAAAATTGATTAAACGACGTAAAAAAACGAACACTTGATGAAAAAAAACAAAATCGTGTGCATATAAATAGAAACATTTCGAGAGATAGTGTTCAAGCAGCGAACAAAACAGTTTGAGTTAACAAAGACAAATATAATTAAAGAAAAAATAATCGAAAAAAAAACAATCAAAATGGTGTCGTTACCGTATCCGTTAGTGTATAGTCAAAAGCATGGATCAAATTTGCCATATTCATCGACAGCACCGGCTTGGCCTTATCCAAATTATACATCACATCATACGCCACATCATCCAAACAATCAATTTATGAATGCGGCACCTACACCGTTTGGCTCTGGTTTGGATTCAGATGCGGCGGCAGCTTCGTTTTATCACCAACATATGTTGACACATTCATCAAGCCCCGACTGGGGACACGATAACTACAATTTATCAACACATAACTCGCAATTTTTCGCCAACGGAATGACACCGCCGTCAAGTTTGCACTTGAGCCCAACGATAAACAGCCATCACAGTTCAAACAGTGGAAATGCAAGCAACGGTGACAATTTGCAAAATGGCTTGCAAAATATTCCACCGTCACCGCCGATCACCGTCAATTCAGCATGCAGCGAAATGTCAAGCCCAGGCATTGGATCAAACGGAGGAAACGGCGGTGTTATTGGCAATGGTGACGCTTCGCCCAGTATGACATCGAATAATAATTTGTCACGACCAAAATCACCGTACGATTGGATGAAAAAACCATCATATCAAAGCCAACCAAATACAGGTACGTAGCTCTAAACGAGCAAATTCTTCTTCTTCTTCTGCCTTTGACAAATTCATTTTGATTATCAAGTACCCGATGTTCGACAAGGAACTTCAAAACGACAAAAAAACATTCAGACAAATAATAACAAAACAAAACTATAAAACGCAACCAAAAATGCTCGCTGTGCCAAACAATTTCAAATTTTTAATGTTCAAAACCGAACTGTTTTGTTGCCCTTTCAATTTTCGAAATCCAAACTGCCTCAATGCGATTGAAATGTCGTGAAAAATCTTAATTTATGACGTTTCAATCTCGTCGAATGAATATTGTTTTACGGAAATTGAAAGGAATGAAAAAAAGACATCAAGATTTAGACATAAAACAATTTTACATTGTTTGGCACAGCGAGCGTTGGAATTGTTACGTTCTCAGTCGCTTTTTATAGTTTTTCTGTAATTGTGTGTATGCATTTTTATCGTTTCTTCGTTTTGAAGTTCTTTGGCGGATATCGGGTACTTGATAAGCCATTACAATTTTCAATGTTTAATTTTCCCGATCGCTACATTTGTGTGTGATACACACTCTGTGTGTGTATGTCTCTTTCTGTGGCAAAACCATCTGACGCACACATTTTCCCGTATGATTGACAGTTGACCTGTTGACTTCATTATTGTCGCTTCTCAATCGTAATAAATCATGGTTCTTTTCATGATTGCATTTTATTACACTTTTTTTTTGTCCAGAATCTTTTTTTTTCTCTATCTCGAAAATAAAACTCCTAATTCTTGATCTCTCTTCTATATTTTCCCATATAAAAATTGGTTAGAAATTGATCAGTCTCATCTAGACGATTATGCATCTTCGATGGAATCGAATGGTATGACATAATCAAACAGTCTTTGTCTTTTATTTTGTTTGGTTCTTGGTTAAAAAAAAAATTTAGTTTGATTTTGAATGCATGCCAGATTTATTTTTGTTAGTAGAATGATATCTCTGTGTGTGATTCTTTTGTTCATGACCAAATCAGATGGAAAATGTGGGCAGGTTTTTATCATATCGCCATTCGTAAATCGAATGCAGGTAGATGCATCGAAAATAACAAAACAGAAATAAAAACAACAACACCATAGAAATGAAGAACGAACGCATGCATTAGTAAAAATGGCCGCTGTAGTAGTGTAATTATGGTTTTTTTTTAATCCAATGCGAATCATTCAATTTAATTTATTTCCGTCTTTCGTGACGGAATTGTAAATAGATTAGGAAAATCTACGGATTAAACAATAAAAATTAGTTGAGTTGTTCTCTTTGTTTTGAATTTGTTGTTGTGCATGAAATGCGAAGGAAGAATTTTTTTTCTTTCTGTCCATTCCTGTTGTTTTTCGAGAAATCGCGTGATTTCATTTGCCTGGAAAGCATATTAAAAGACATCCAGATGGGTATATGCATACGTGATACGGCAGCAGATATCCATCGAATTTATTTAAATTGACATTTTTATTCATGGCTCTCGAGCTCTTTCTCCCATTCACTCTATCAACGAGTTTAATGGAGAAGAAAAAAGTCAATTCGATGCAGCATTTCGTGTCTACACATTTTTCAGGCTGCCATCATTAAAAATAAAATATATACACACGCGAATAGCACGCCCGACTTTTGGTAGGAGTTGCCTCTACTATTATTTATTCCACATTCATTTTATTGAATGATCGCCGAAAGATATACGTGATGTGTATACGGCCCGTCGCATGGAATAGCACAACCAAACCAAGCCAAGAAACTAATTTCACATATTATTTATGTTGGGGAGTATTCTTCTGATTCTTAATTTCCATACATGAAATGGAATGGTTCGCATTGGCACCGCACGCTATAGCACACAAAACGAGCGTGTGTTTGTGTATAAAACAAAAGTTTATATTTATTTTTGTGAAACACGCGCATATGCACAACAAGAGCTGAACATAATTTATCGAAATTATTTCGCTCTTTCTCTCTCACCCATTCTCTTTGCGGCTGTGTGAAGAGAGGAGAAAAAAAATGAGCAAGAAGCACGAAAAAATATACGACTTAAACATAATAATAAATAATTGGATGTTTTTTTTATTGTGGTGCAATAAAAAGAACGAACCAAGAAGAAAACAAGCCGAGAAAATGTGCTCGAATTAAACATTTCTGCTGTGTTTGTGTGTTTAATTTTGTTTTATTCATTTCATTTCATCTGATGCGTGTATTCTCCGAAAATTCGACATAAATTCAATACGCGTTATGATTCGAATTTGTTGGTTAAGCAATCCTATCACCAAAGCACCTTTCCGTTTGAATACAATTCACGCCAAACTGGGCGAGTGAGTATCTGGTGAGTGTGTGTTTAGTATCTGCGAACAATTTAAAGTTCAGTTTTTCTTTCATTTTTTTTTTATTAAGTTCAGCCACATCCAATTAATTTTATAACTCAATATGTGCAAAACGGCATTTACCACGAACAAAACCGTCGAACTGTCCCTAGTGCATAGCTCAACACTATATCGCCTTCGTGTGTCCGTTATTTTATTCATTTAATTGGCGCATTGTTTCGATATTAGAGTGTTGAAAACCATTTACAAAATGGCTTTTTGATCGATGCTCTCCTTTCACTTTCTCCCCCTTTTCTTTGCCTTCTTTAAAATGCAATGTCTTACGAGAATCATTTTCTGACAAAATCTGGTGAATTTTGCACCGAAATAAGACGCCACCTTTCAAATTACTTTCATATTTTTGCCCAATTTCTGTCAGCCCGAACATGAAATACAAACGATCGAATTACAAAACCAAGCGACACACAATTGTGACAGTATCGCCATTCAATGTGAGTATGTAATGTGCGTTAAATGGTTAACAAAATAAACAATAGGATCCGAATTGAATGTTGAATGGGAGATACAAGTACGCACCAGAATAATAACGACACAACCACCACTTGTCTCTTTTTTGACAAAATGTTTACACCGAGAGAGTTTAGTGGTTGGCTGGTGTGAGAGATGATAATGCGTGCCGACAGAAAATCACAATCCTCCAGAGAGCCATTTGTACCACAAGATTTATACATGTGCACGTCTTTTGTGTGGTCGTTTTTTTCTGTGTCTCTCTCTCTCTCTCTCTCTCTCGATGCTGCTGCTTCATGCATTCCGGCCCTTTGCTACTCGTTTTTGTTTCGTTTTGTGTCACTTTTTCGGGGACGACTACTACGAATACCAAATGGCTCGATCTACATACCCAATGCGATACGTTTCTTCTCTCTGGAAAAAAGTTCAGATCTTTGCCAAAGTTTTTTTTTTTCTTCTTCACGAAACTAACAAATATCGATGGCAAAACGTCTGGAATAAAAACTTTTCCTGTAACTTTTTCTAGTTAACATGAACAAAATCTCGAGACAATTAAATCGCAACATTTAAACAGGCCCATTCTACGCATTTGTTGACTCGAACAGTGCCTGTTTATTCAGTGCCATATCATTGCATTTTCGGGACACTCGTTCATCCCATGTTGTTTTGTTGCGTGAGGCATACGGAATAATGGTGTGGCATGAAATATGAAAATTGCTTAATTTTAGATAATTTCACTCCAGAGACGAATTTTTGGTTGTCTTCCGAGAGAGTGAATCAAGCCTCCTTCATTTTGGCCCATATTTTGTTTGCGCATCACATTTTTTCTTGTCAAGCACTCTCAATTATTATAATCGTTATTGTTATTAACAAGGGCAAGTTGCAATTAATTTATGCGCAGTCAGTACCATGCGTTGTGCCCTCCTGTTTTCTACACGGAACTAGATTGGCAACAGATGCGTTCGTTATCAACTGAATGAAGCAGTGATACAGTTTAGAGTAAGATCAATGAAAACCCGAATGATGAACCGATGATTTCCTCATTCCAAATTGACTACAAGCGTCTAAGTGGAAAATTAAACAATGCAACGAATTTGTTCCTCGATTTAATTCCACTCAATGCTCGGTTGTGTTAATTAAATTGTTATATATTCGGTTTTGTTTGCTTTACTACTGCACTACGCACTGCGTTTCAGATTTGTTCTCTTTTTTTATTTAAAAGTAAACATGAGTCGGACTCGCGTCGGCATTGTTACGCAGTGAGAATTTTGTTGATGCGTTTTCTTCTTCTTCTTCATTGTCTTGTCGAGAGTTCGAACGAAACTCTCGTGAAACGTGTTGATTTTTTCAAGTAGAAATCGTTGCTATTGATTTCGTTGAGAAAATGTTTTTTCTCCAACCCTCGATCTTATTTCGGATGCAGACACTTCACGTCTACCTGCATTGAAAATTCATGCAAATGAAGGATAAAACCATAAAATTCTAAATATGCATAATCTCATTTTGATGTTCTGACTCTTGTAAACAGAAAATCCGCTCGCTTAAAAATTACCTGAAATTAGAGTCAATTGTTTGCCATTTTACCGGCTGACTTTTGATGATGTTTTGCATCCTACATGAAATGCGGCAAAAATTAAACACGATTTTTTATTTTTCGTTCGAATGTTTATGGCCTTTTGTTTATGCCATAAAATTTGTATGGAAAAACAGCACAAGACTATCGAACAATCGAAGAAGAAGGCAAATAGAAAAGGAATCGAACGAAGGCAATGTAAAAAAGATGGTTTTATGACTGCTGCTACAGCAGTCCTGTCGAATGTGCCAAAGTTCTATAGTCGACCCTCAGAAGAAACGGAAAAAGAGAGGCGATGATCATAACAAATTCATATTTGAGCCGAAAAAATTGAGATATCTGCATTTGTTTTACGACAAGGACACCAACCAACCCAATTGCTAACAACAATGCCATTTTGTTGCCGTGTCGCAAATGTAAAATAACAAAAATTTAATTGTTTTGAAAACTCATATCCAATTGCTGTTTGGGTATTCTCTTCCGTTTTCTCTCTCTTCTCAACATCTTTATTTATTTGTAGTCTTTTTTTCGGTGTTGTGTAAATAACACGCATTCAAAACGTTTGAAAAACATATATATTTTTGAATGTAACAAAGCCGCCGAAAAGTAGCGTGCATGCTGTGCAACAGACCAGCGACCACAATGAAAATCAAAACGGAAGCTCATGTGATGTGTGGTCACTTTCATGTCGAATCATTGTTGTGACAGTTTTGTGTGTGATTAAAATGGCAGATTCTTGAAATGAAACTAAGCGAGACACAAAAACAAATATGAAGATATTGTTAAAAAAATGGAACTGCATACAAAATTGAGTATAAAAATGAATCTTAATGGCGTTTGTCGGCTCAATAAAGCGATAAACACCACAGAATGCTTGCTCACCGATGCACACAGACGCAAATCCAAAAAGATACATACAAACACTTTATCTCGTGTGTTTTTTCACGTTTAAAAACACATCAAATAGAGCAAGAGTGATTAATCTACGTCACGTCTTATTTTGTTTTTTGTCGTATACTTGAAATTCGTTGGCTTATTTGGCTAAGGATTTGAGCAGAGAAGAAACATGGAAAAAAAAGACAAATTTGAAATCATTTCCATCATGATTTCTGGTGAACGACAGAACAAGCACATGGCTACATCAGAAAAAAAAGGGAACAAAAATAGAGGAACACTCTGTGCCACGAAAAAAGTACATAAAATCGTTCGCGCAAACACACACGCACCGGAGAGAAGAGAGAAAAAACAGTATGGAAGAATGTGATTGATAACGATCGCGATAAACAGAACGTTGCGATAAGATTTTCAATGTGTGTTGTACACCTTCGGTGGTAACCTTTCGAATATCAAATGGAACGTGAAACATGGAAACGAAATATACGCGCGGTCATGACACAAGCTATTACAATATATAGCAAATAAATGTGCTATTTAACCGTTCATTTCCTTTATCTTTCGTTTCTTTTTTTTTTGTATCCAGATGCTTGTATGCATATTCATATTTAGAATTGCGTGCGTATTGACTTAGCGCTGAATAAGATTTAGAGTATTTTCTGCAAACAAAAGCGATTTGCACTTTTTATTTTGCCAAACAAATTATTCAGAAGTTTTGACTCAAAACATCACAGTTTCAATTGAAATTTCAATTAGGCGACCATTAAGAAAACCACATTGTCTGCTATGGACAAAATCGATAAAACGCAGACGATTTCATGATAGATTTGCGTTCGTTTTCGGTAAAAAAAAAGTCATTATTTTCATCCAAAAAATTTCGTCAGTAAAACGTAGCTGTCAAAGTTGTTTCGTCCATGTTATCTAGTTTGCTCAATGTAATATCTGTTTTTACCCGCACCATCAATCGCAATCATTGACGTTTAATTACAAATTGTGTGAAAAAATAATAAAAGAAAGAAGAAGAAGAAAAAATGATTGCTATTTTCATTGCGCCATTTTGGTGTGTTCGAATTCTATCGTCTGGTATTTACCCCGTCTTTATCGCAATGTTTGTTCACACTCATTTGATGAAGACATGAAATGATCTAGCAAAAATGTCTATTTTTTTTAATTCGCCACGTATTTTCTTCTCTTGTGTTTCTTTTTCTCGTGTGTTTTCTTCTCTTTTCGTTGCTCTGCCAGATACATTATTTATTCAATCCCGTTTTATCCGTTTGTGGTGACTTTGATCGTTGTTTGATGTTTGATATAAGCAAAATTGTGACAAAATACAATGTTGTTGGTTCATTTTTTTTTCATGGCGTTTTGTTAATGGAATTCATTTACAAGAATTTTCAAACGTCGCTTGGACTTTTGTTTTGTGTCACATCGCCGTTTATAATCAATAGCGACATATGTATGTAGAATGTAGTATAGGAGTGGCAATTGAGCCGAAACAACAACGGAGAAGAAGAAGAAGAAAATGGTCAAGAGCCCAAAATGTTGGGAAATGTGTGTCCATACGAAGCAATTAACACGGTCATAAATTATCCGCGCCCACGGTCAAAATGGATTCACGAAAACCAACGAATACATCGGTTCGGCCAATCAGCGTGGCGGGATGGGGCAATTGTGTTCATGCTGTGCCCGTGCATTTCGTTGATTAATTACTGCATCTGCCAGCCAACGAACCAAACGACTTTCATAGAGAAAAAATAAAAATTGAAGCCAAAAACACAAAGTTGAGGACAAAAGGGCGACCAATGATAACGATTTTCTCACATTTGTTTTATTGTTCCTACCTTTTTCGGGATAATTTTCAAAAAACACGCAGACGCTAACTAATTCGGATTATATCAGCATTTTTTTTTTCATTCAATCCATCATTTTCAGTTAAAATCGAAATAACATTTTATTTATGACTTATTCAAAAGGGCCAACCGATTGGTTTTTATTTGCCCCAACAATTGAATCGAACGAACGCGCGATGCTGCATTCGTGAATAAAAATAGAAACTTTTTTTGTTCAACAAATAGATACCAAAATCTGTGTTGTGAACGCGTTTTTTGTGTGTGTCTCTATTTATGACATTTTTTTTATCTGTTTTCCATTTACATACACATATTTTATGAATTTTATGACATTGACGACTTTATCGTACAGGTACTTTAATGTTTGTATATACACTAAACGCTATAAACGGCAATGTGTGATGAATGCTTTGTGTGAATTTGAATTTAAATTCCACAATTCTTCATTTTTTTCTGTATCTATCGTTCCTCTTATGATTTGGTGAGAGATTATGTTTTTCTTGTTTCATATCCAAAGATCTTTATCTCAAAAGGCTTTAGAATGTTTGCATGAACATTTTGAGCATGATCTGTATAGAATCAGTCATTTTAAAAAGCATATCTGCATGATTTGGTTTTAATTTATTTTTTTCCTCAAATTTTTTTTGTTGACATTCAACTAACGTACGTTTGTTTTAATTTGCAGGAAAAACCCGTACAAAGGACAAATACCGTGTGGTTTATACCGATTATCAACGTTTGGAACTCGAAAAAGAATATCACATGTCACATTACATAACGATTCGCCGAAAATCGGAGCTGGCCCAATCGTTGCAATTGTCGGAGCGTCAGGTGAAAATATGGTTCCAAAATCGTCGTGCAAAGGATCGCAAGCAAACGAAAAAGCGTGATGGACCCGTGATGGGAAGCGGTGGAATTTTAACGAATGGACTCAATTCAAATGTTAGCCTCTCGTTGCAACACCATCACGGCATGGGCAATGGTCCGTCAAGCCTTGGTGCCAGTTCAATGTACGGTTCACTCGATATCAAGCCGAAATTGGAGCCAGGTCTTTTGCCGCCTAGCCATCATTCGCACAACTATGGGCATTTGCATCAGGCACATGCTTCTCATCCAATGCATCACCTAAGCACAATGGGCATGAATCTATTGCACCAAAGTCACATGCATCATCATCATTCAGCAGCATCAGCCTTACCACCAACACCAATTTCATCATCGCCGGCCACAAGTATCCAATCTCAGGCACACTTATCCTCTTAAATGATTCTTTGTTTTTTTTATCTATCACACAATCGTCAACACAGAGAGAGGAACAAACGTCATGCGATATTTGTTAATTGAATGTTGTTGATTTTAAGTAACGAAATTCAAAAGTTGAACAAAAAAAAAATTGTTATTTTAAAATCCTAAAAAATAGAGATAAAAAATGATGTCCGTTCCATAGTCCACTAGTTTGAAAACTTCGATGATATCTCTTTGATTTCATCGAAATGAAAGGAATGATTTTTAGCATTTAATCACGTTTTTTTTTTCCTTTTTTTAATCTTAAAATCTTTCGATTAACACAGTGTTTTTTCTATTAAGTTTCATTATTTTTTTTTATTTTGTAACAGTTAACAATTTATGTTTCAAAATCGAAGTGCATTATTGAATTTAATACGGAATGAAACACATCAATTCTGTGTGTGCATATTTCGCTATTCACCACATTTTTGTTTGGTGAACAAAAAAATATCGATTTCTTGTTTGAAAGAAGAAAAAAAACATTAAATGCAATGAACAAAAAAAAACCTGTAAACGACAAAGGCCAGGGGTTAAAGACGTGGAATCGAAACAAAACCGACCACATCATAATTTTTTTTCTAGCAATTAGCATAAATGTGAAAAGCAGAAATTAAACTTCTTCATTTAAACTACTTTGTTTCTTTTTGAATAAAAACAAAACAAAAAATAAACTTGATAGAATAATAAAACTTAAGTGCAATTATGTAGAAAGCAGTAGAGTGTGCAACAACAACAACAAAAGAATAACTCACAAACAATATGAGATAAGGATATATATGAAAACTAAATAATTAACCAGCAAAATGTTTTGAGAATGTTCAAAATCCGAACGTATGTTGATTCACTTGAATCACAATTAAGCGCAATTTAATCACATACTTGAAATAATTAGGATTTGTATGGAATAAGACACATTGAGCATGTAAAATGTGTAAGAAATGATTGTAAATTGCCATTAGATTGGCTCATTTTTTTGATTGTATACAACGAACAGACACATGAATTGGCAACACGAAACTCAACATGTGCTACAAATTCACAAAAGGCACACCAACACCTTGGCTTGCTTGCTTTTAGATTTGGCACCATTTCCATTTTGGTTCACCGTGACTGTACAATTACATTTTAGCAAAATATATGAATAAATCGAAGAAAAAAAAATTCAATTGCATGTAAACTATCCAATGAAAATTCATAGAAAATCAAATAAAACAATAAAGAAAAGAAATCTCACCGAATTTTTCATTCAGAATTTTTTTTTCATAAACTTTTTTTCTCTTCTGAACAAGTCATCCAGGTTCGTTTAGGTTTGTCACTGACCATTCATCAATATGCAAACGAGTGAGATACTTTCATTTGTATACTAGAATTGCATAACTTAATTCTCCTGCATGTCTGAGGTATATACAACGCTTCTTATGCTTTGCAGCTAAATTATTATGACAATTGTAGTGTCTTGACTTGAAAGTCAATTATAAAAAGAGACATAATTACAATTTTTCCACGTTGGAATCTATTCAAATTGTAGTGGAACTTATTTATTGCCATTGATTTATTGGGAATTCATGAAAATATTTTTGAACGCATCGCTGAAACTTGGAAATAGCTTTGAGACATTGTAAAGCGATGAACAATATTACTCCTAAAGTTATTATGTCAACAAATCAAAGTATATGCGGCTTACGTGAACCCAATAAACTCATTCAAATCACGTCGAAATTATTTATAGATTTCAAAAAAATGACTTCCAATTTGATCCATTCTCATGGAACTTCGTAAATTGGTCCTAAACACGAATTTCTTTGACAAATAAATATTGTTGTCTTCACCAATCAACTTATTCAGCTTTTTTCTAGTGCAGCATGAAAAAGACTTCTTCGAATTGTAGCTCTAATCATTAATTAATTTTTTCATAATTTTTCGACGGCGCAATTAACACAATAATCAATTTAACTAAAGAAAAAAACATTGAAACTCATCGAACTCGAAAATCATCGATGTAATTAGAACAAAAATCACTGCTTCAGAAGACGATGATCGGGCTGTAACAACGACACTTGTTCCAAACAGGTAAAAGAAGTCGATAAGTTGAAAAAAAATAACTTCGAGGAAGTGAATCAGCAGAACAAGTTGAAGTCATAGTGAATGAGTATGAAATAGACAGTACCGTCTCACCAAATATCATCAGTTTGATTTGTGATTGGGTACATCCAATGTTCATCCTAATTTTAATTCAGACATGCAACTGTCGTGGGAAATACAAATCCGCAATTTAAACACAAAACAGAAGAAAACAACCGTTGATTCAAAATCTTGAAAGCCTGGTAACAACGACACTTTTTAATGAACAGTTGATCAGAATTTACTACTCATACTTTACATCGAATTGAAAATTGCCAAATGTAATTAAATTGAAAATTCTTTTTTGAAAAATAGAAACATTTGGTTAGTTTTTTGAGTTGAAATGTAAAGATTCTCGAGCCGAAACAAATACCAACAAATGGATGGTTAAACCATGAAAACTGAATGGGATAATTTTTCATTCGAAAAAATTTTCATCCAAGATTTTATAAATATTTGTATGCAAATACAAATGAGATTTTTCAATAAATTTCTATTTTTATTCGATCACTAAAATATGACAAGTTAAAAATGATAATAAACGATTTTGATTTGCTAAAATTCAATTCTGATTCAATCGTGAATATGTTCAAAACAGCCACTAGTTTTCCCATTCGTACGTAATTCGAAATTCGACCATGAAATGCCCGACAGATGGCGTTGTGATTGGTGCTCATAATGGCTGCTGCTATTGGTAATGCCAAGCGAAATCATTACGACAAGAGCTGTGGCCGGAGATACACTTGTGAATCACACCAGCAAACAAACAACAAAAAAGTGACAAATTTTACGTTGAAACGTATTCAAAACTAGTTAATTGTAATCGTTGCGAGTGATTTTATACAAATATCATCAAAATGAGTTCGACCGAAGCAGATAGTATCGATAAACTGTACAAAAACTACGACATTCTGAACGACGCTAAAGACAAGATTTCTGAGGTTAGTTTTTCAATACATATATATGTCAATACACAACACATACTGGGTGACTTGGAAACGAATAACGCAGACACGTACACTTTTTCGTGTTTATTTATTTAACAAATGCCTGTTTATTTTAGCACGAAAAAGAATACCGTGAAATTATTGAAGCTGTGAAAGGTTCGGAGAAGGAGAAACGCTTGGCATCGCAATTCATTGGAAAATTCTTCAAGTTTTTCCCATCGCTTGCTGACGCCGCAATCGATGCATCACTCGATTTATGTGAAGACGAAAACATTCAAATCCGTCGTCAGGCCATTCGCGATTTGCCACTTTTATGCAAGGACACAAAGGAACACATCCCGAAGATTGGCGACATTTTGGCTCAATTATTAGTCGTTGACGATCCATTGGAACTGCAGCAAGTGCATATGTCACTGCAACAAATCCTCAAATTCGACGCAAAATCAGCTCTAGCTGGCATTGTAAGTAGATTAACATGGCTTTTTCTTGAAATAAATTCGAATGTTTTTTTTTTTCGAATGAATTGACATTTCTCGAATTTGGTTTTCGATTTTAGTTTAGCCAAATTTTGACTGGCGACGAACTCACCCGAGACCGATGCTTCAAGTTTCTGGGTGTGAAGCTTAAGCAATTAGGCAAAGAGATAATTACCGACGAAATCGAAGCATTCATCATTGAAGAGGTCAAGAAGGTCCTTCAGGTAGGAAACGTGTGTAATTTTCTGTTGAACCGGATTAAAAATGGTTTGATGTTTTATCCATCATTAGGACGTGACAGCCGACGAATTCCAGAATTGTATGAACATTTTGGCTTCGACAAAACTGAGCACAACTCCAAAGGGACAAAGTGAATTGGTTGCCTTAGCTGTAGAACAGGCAGAACTCAACACTGAAGAAGAACCGGTCATCATCGAAGATGAACATGTTGAACGTTACATCTTGTGTGCCACTCATGCACTTCCATACTTTTCGGTAAGTCCATAAACAATGCCAAAATCACACAAAATCTGTCTATGACATGAAAATAACATTTTCTTCAAATTCAGACTCAAATCGAATCAACTCCGTTCATCAAGTATGCTTGCGAGAAGTTGTTCCCATTGCATACATGGAAGTTGATTGGTGCCAACGACAGCGACCGCGATCAACAGCATTTGCGTGTGCTTAAAGTCTTCGCCGAGATGGCAGCCTTCTGTGGAACGCTGGATGCACCAAACCTCAAAATTGATGCTATCTTCAACGTCCTTCAGGTAAGTGATTGGTTGACGAACTGTATTTATGTTGATTTCCGAGATAAATTTACACTCTGACTTATTTTCAATTTAAAAAAAATGAATCAACGGTAAATGTTGAATTTGCAGGAATACATGCCACTCCCTCCAATCACCGAAGGTGACGGAGCCATCGAGGAGAACCCATCGTTCAAGTTTTCTCATGCTGAATGTTTGCTCTATGCATTGCACAAATTGGGTAAACAAGATGTCGACTATTTCCAATTCAAAGACGATCCAAACAAGTTGAAGGAATTCCGCTCTCGCTTGCAGTACTTGGCTCGTGGCACACAAGGGTAAGAAACATTGAACAAGACTTGATGATTCCTAAAAAGACCAGATGAATCATTGTTTCCGTTAATTAATCCAAAAAAATCTCTGTAGATACATCAAAAAGTTGCAAGAGGCTGTCAAAGGCAAGGCACCGAAAAAGGGCGATGACGAGGCCACCACAAATGAATATCAAATCAAATTGATCGCATTGAAAACGACATCAAACATCAGCACGTTGATTCGTGACCTATTCCACAATCCACCCATTTTCCGTTCAGTCGTACAATTGTCATGGATCACAAAGAAGAGCAATGTAAGTTCAATGTCATTCATCTCAACACAGCTTACGCTTACTTCTTCCCTCGTCTAAGTTCAATTGATTCATTGACCAAATTGTCATTTCCGTTTTCAGGATTCGAATAAACGGCACGCGCCAATCACTTTCCAATCAGATGCAAATAACGATGAAAAGCGCAAGAAGGTGGGTGCAAAGAGCACCACTTCGCCAACATCATCGTCCGAACAGCGTTTGTACAAAACGCCGTCTGGTAAATTTTCGGGTAAGGTATCAAATTATTCAAACAACAGAAATAACAATCGGAACGGTAACGGTGGCGGTTTCCGTCAACGAAACGGTCCAGGTAAAAATCGCAATTTCCGTCGTTACTAAAATGAATATTTCGCAAAACACACATTTCTCTTTCACACACACACACACACACACACAAACCGTTGCTTCTCTTATATCGGCGGCACATATTCAACTGGCCGTTCTAACGATAGAAATAAAAACAAAACCAAGTTCACTCAATTCTTCACACTTCGAGTAGTTTAATCGACTCGAAATTATGTTTACATGAATTGCAATAAACTTATAACCTTCACGTCGTTTTCCCTCCCGCATTCAATGAAAACTATAGATGATTGATTGATCAATCAAAATTGCAACATTTTCCGAAAAAGACAATGCAAAATAATATACCGTTTCGATTTTTATTCACTCTTCACGACCTCTTTTCACTTTTATTTTGTAAACTAAGAACATTCTTATCGGAATAAGAATCAATTTTTCTCACACATTTTACGGTGTGTTTTCTTGTGTCGAGTCATTGAAAGATATGGAAAAAAATGGGAAAGAAAAAAAACAAACAAAAAAAATTAAATCGTAGCAGCGTGAGTTCAATTTGAACTCGACAACGGCGTTGGATACAAAAACGATGGTTTGATTTTGCGTTTTTCAAATTGTAAACTTGTGTTTGGCATTTTCCATTTATGGAATACAGAAAAAAACAAAAACAAAATTGGCGTTTGGTAAAAATGCACATTGAGCATCAACAATCATTCTAAACTTAGTTCGGATTTGACGTAAATGAATTGGTAATACGCTCAAGTTAATATTATTATTTTTTTAAACAATTAAGTTCAAACAAAATAAAAACGAAACGATTTTTTTTCCCTTCAATTAAACATAGTATTCACATATAATAGTTAAAGTGACCCAATCTTACCAAAACGGAATTTAATCAATAAAATATCTAGAAAAACATCAAACTCTGTCTTTCATTTTAATTGGTTAAGGATTTTCTTTTGGTCTTTTAATGCAAGTCCAAATCAAATATGATTCTTTGGTTGAAAATCAATTTTGTTGAAAGCATTCTTATCATGCATTTATTCTCAGAGGAGAGAAATGACAGTTCGATCTGTGACCAACTTCACGCTGAACTGTCAAATGAAGACGAACGAATGAACGAGCATACATAAATATCACGTTTTCAGTCATTACACCGGGTGTAAAGGTATCTTGCATTTAATCTATTGAATATTTAGTTTTTTTCCGTCGTGCGGATTAATTTTTAGTGAATAATTTTCGTATACACTTGTATTTAGGTGAGTTCTTAACGATGCAATCCACTTCCGCATGAATATTTTCAATTTATTGGCAAAATAGTACATTTAACATGAAATGATATAGAAACATAACCTACATGCAACACACAGTTGATATGATGAAATTACGAAATTCCAAATTATTTTGACTCTTTTTTCGTTCTTCAGTTGACAATACATAACAAAAATGGCACAATTCTTGAACAGAATCGGACAATTAGGTTTGGGAGTTGCTTTAGCTGGTGGTGTCGTCAATTCAGCGTTATATAATGGTATGTATCAAGCCCGGTCGGCTGTCTCACACTTGTATATTGTGTTTAACCGGAGGAATTTTCCATATGTGTTTTTCAGTTGATGGCGGTCATCGAGCTGTAATTTTCGATCGTTTCGCTGGTATCAAGCAAGCTGTTGTCGGCGAAGGTACACATTTCTTTATTCCATGGGTCCAACGCCCGATTATTTTCGATATTCGATCACAACCACGAAATGTGCCCGTTGTCACTGGTAGCAAAGATTTGCAAAACGTAAACATCACATTGCGTATCTTGTTCCGCCCGAAACCGGATCAATTGCCAAGAATTTACACAATTTTGGGTGTTGATTACGACGATCGTGTGTTACCTTCAATCACAACGGAAGTATTGAAAGCCGTTGTCGCCCAATTTGATGCCGGCGAAATGATCACACAGCGTGAGGTAAGTGATTGGACGATTCGATTTAAGGGGAATTTCGATTTAATTGAAGTCAATTCAGACAATATGATGATGGCATAACAGCCGTTAATAGTTTCAGACTCGAACAACGCATTTACTAATTGTTTTCCACATTTTTCAGTTGGTGTCACAAAAGGTGTCGGACGATTTGACAGAGCGTGCAGCACAATTCGGTCTTATTCTTGACGATATTTCCATTACGCATTTGACGTTCGGCAAAGAGTTCACAACAGCCGTTGAAATGAAACAGGTCGCCCAGCAAGAGGCTGAAAAGGCTCGTTTCCTCGTCGAAAAAGCGGAACAAATGAAAAAAGCGTCCATTATCTCGGCTGAGGGAGATGCAACAGCCGCCGAACTATTGGCCAAATCATTTGCCGATTCCGGTGATGGTCTAGTTGAACTTCGTCGTATTGAAGCCGCTGAAGATATCGCTTACCAATTGTCAAGATCACGACAAGTAGCCTACTTGCCCGGCAACCAATCCACTCTCTTGAATTTGCCAGCAATGAACTAGATTAAATTGTAGAAAAGCAGGAACGAACATACAAAAATAACATTGAAATGTAGCTATGGACCGGAGTATGGCAATGGAGCATTTAAAAACTTGCACGAATATTTTGTTGCAAACTTATTTTCGTTAACACAAGAAAATAAAATAGCCTAGAAAACCAAGGAACCATTTTGTTTGATTACAAATAAATACAATTGAATATTAGTTTAAAACTGAAGATTTTTTGTGTTTGTTTCATTCATTTTTCTTACGTTTCAGACTGTATTTCATTCCTTTCAATTTCATTCCTCTTACTGAAGACTGTCCCTTGCTCGAAATCATCTGAGAATCAAAATTGACACTGTCGATTCGACAATAAATAAAACGACACACAAATGGTTATTTTCGAAAATTCTTGAAAGAAAATATTATTATCTTTTATCAAATGACATTATTAAAGAGGAATTGGTTTCGTTTAAAATCAAATCATCTCTACTACTTTCTCATGTTAAATTTGTTGTTTTTTTTTAATAAGTTGGCACAGTAACTGTAAATTGATATTTTGCATTAGGTAACATTGACTCGATTCATCACTCGAAATTGAAGGAAAAAAACTCATTATAACAGAAAAACAACTTAAAACCTGCACAAAAGTAATGATATAGAAATAATCTGTTTGATCAACTTGAACTTGAACAAATAACGGAGCATATTTGGATAATAATATTGTGAAAATTGTTTTGCATTTTTGTTTTTTCTTCTTCTTTCATTGCAATTGAGTAACAAAATTCTACGTTATTTTTTTGCTTTTATTACGAATGCTAACTAGAACTTTCACTTGATGCACATTTGTCAAGACATAACAATTTGCCTCTAATTGAGAGCAAGTGTAACAAAGGATTGTACACTCCATTCAAAATAGTCTAACACTTAAATAAAACCGGATACGAGATTTGATATCGAGCATAGGTAGGAAAACGTCTAGTATTTCAAATAAAAGGAGAGACTCAACTTCGATTTGCTAAGAGAGGAAGGACAAGGCGCGTTGGTAAATTGTCTTGTAATATAAAAAAAAATCTATCAATTTTCATCCAAAAAATTGACATTTGGAAATGTTTAGGTCTTGTGGTCGTAGAAGCATAGTTAGAAACGTGTTTGCGATCAAATTCGGTGGTTTGCTAACTAACAATATTCTCTGTGGGTGTGTATTTATGTGTGATAACTTATCTATATTTTTTTGTTTATTAAAAGCTGCATCTCTCTAAAAATTGATTAATTCACTAAAAATTATTTTAAAAACGAAAAATCAACAAAATTTGTTTAAAGAATGAGGACTATGAATTGTCAGTCCAACTGCAACTGAACACAACAAAAATGATGGTTTGTTTTTTGAATTGCCGGAGTGCATGTGTTGGTATCTAGTGTGTGATTTCGATTCTATGCATCGTCGATGGCATATGTTTCCGATTCTTCGAGCATCGAACGGAACGTTTTCGTTGGGTTTGCCGTAGCTCTTGTTTCGTTGACATGATTATTGCCGACATGATTGGACACATGATTCGAGTTATTGTTTAAGTGGTCGTTTTCCATTGATCCCTTGTTATTGTTGTGAATAAGACTAATGTGATTGCTAATTGTTGGCACGGCACCGGGCATATTGTCCAAGTCCTCGACTATTGAATCGTGATTTTGTTGTTGTTGTTGTTGTTGCGGCGGTTGTTGTTGGATCTTTGGTTGATTGTTTTGTCGTGGCATCGATTGCGGTTTGTATGCCACTTCATGATTTAAACGAGACGTATGTTGACGAATCACTCGCTCAAATTCCCGTTGCACAGATGCATTGTCGGTGTCACCATCGACAATTGCCAAACGACCTTCGGCATCCAACACTTTTAACATTGGCAATGTGAGCTCACGAAATTGTTCCAATCTTCGGCGGAACGAAGACACCGTATCATCTAAACGACCACGTCCCAATTGCAATTTCGAACAATCCAATAGAATTATCGGCGGTTTTTGATGATACTAAAATGATTGAAATGAAAGAAAAAATGGGTAAAACTGCAAATTTGCTACTTTGATGGGTTTCAAAACCTTTTCCTCGAAATCCGACACTTGTTTGATATCACGTGGATATCCATCGATAATAATGCCCTTTTTATCCGACAGATTCACCAGATGTGTTTCAAGGATTTTTTGTATTGATTGCTTATTGATCATTTCGCCAGCGGCGATTGCATTTTTAATTTTGTGATTTTCCGTATTTGCCTTCGGATCCGATTCAGCAATAGCACGAACGATACGACCAATACTGAAAACACAATAATTAGAACAGTTTTTCCTTCTAACTCTATCATAGTGTGACTCACCTGAAGTGGCTCCAGCCTTGATTAAGCGCAACTGCTTTCAAACACAATGTGCTTTTGTTACTCCCAGGACCTCCAATCACCCAAATAATTGGCGGTAAATTCGAGAAGTCAACATTATTATTTGGAGTTGGTGATTGTTCCAAAATTCGTACCACTTCAATGGGTGGCGTTTTGATACCAAGTGTTGGTGGCTTAACGGATATCTCAACCGTTTCCGATGTCTGGGCTTCATCTTCAGCATTTCCTTCTGGAGCCGTTTCAACACTAACAATCGTCCCGGGTATTTCATTCATTCCCTTACCCATGCCAACCACACCGTTCAGCAGTGCATTTTGATTATCCTGCGAGCCGAGTATTTCAAAAATTGCACTTCGAAAATCTTTGTACACTTCGACTGGATTGCGTTCACCATTCACAACACTCAAAAGGCCACTCTGGTCAAAGTACTCGCTAACCGGAATAACATTCTTATAGAAATTTTCCAATTCCATTTTTGCCAACGAAAGCACCACTTGCCCGAGCTTGACGCCGTAATCGATTTGCTTTTGTAGAATTTGCTGTCGCCACGATATCATTACAACGCCACTAACAACTTGAATCTATAAATGAAATGGACCGTGCATAATTGATGTGAAAATGAGACATTGACGTACATATAAATACACAACTCGTATACGGCTCTATATTTATATGCATGTTTCGTGTAATGTACCTTATCAGAGTATTCTACAACGTCACGCATTGACCGAGGAAACCCAGAAATAAGATATGCTTTTGCGGCTGGTGCCATTTTGATTTCCAGCATCAAAACTTCCGTCACCATTTTTGATGATAGTTGCGAAAAGTCCACCATATCTACGGGACAGACATACACAAAACAACAACAAAAAACGTCGTATTTTATTGATTCGGGTAAATAAATTGAATTCCATCATTTTGGCAAACACCCAAATCGAATTAAAATCTATATATGTACCATTGCTAATAACGTGCTGATGTAAAAGGTCCATCATATTGATATGCGTAACACCACGTTTTTCTTCCATCAGTGTATCACAATGTGTCACTTTACCACTCCCGGGACCGCCTGAAAGCGCAAGAAGAAAAAAAATATGAACGGACACAGAATAAAGAGACAAAACTGTAGCCTCAAGTAAAATGTCTTTTTTTCTGCTTCTATTACCCAGCACAAATATCACAGGCACCGAAGGTGGATCAAATTTAACTTTTCCTGCGTTTAGTACAGACATTCCAGCGGCTGACGTTTTCGATGTACCAGATCTACTTTCACCGCCTCGTCCTTTCCACTCAGCTTCTTCAGAATCAGGTGCTGTTGAATTTGCTTCTGAAAAATGAAAAAAAAAATGAGACAACGACTAAACAATGCACACACGACGACGCAAACTAAGAATTCAAACGAAATAATTGCTACAAACAACCGAACCCCGAACAAAATGATATCAAAGTAAGTAAGCAACAACAACAGAAACTTGTGCCAATTAAAAGTGATTCGTTAGCTCACAAAAAACACAGCACAAAACTACGATGGAATTCCTAATCTTGGAGTGTATCCTTTGTTGCGGTTCCGGAGGTGTTCACTAAAATGACTTTGTTAACACAATTTGCTCGGTCTTTTATATTATTCGGTTTCGATAACCTCTTTTCCATTCATTAGTTGTGTTTTTTCGTCACTCACACTGTGTCATTCGCAGTATGTGTGGGTGACGACGTCGTTATGATTCTGGTTATGCATTGTGTTCTCGATTTGCATTAATGACCAATGTCGTCTGTATTTTTTCGAACCACTCACAGTTTTTTTTTTTTCGGGTGGAAAATATAACAAAATTATTGTTTGAACAGTGAATGAATTAAACAAACTTATGTCCATATTCACTGGCGAAACGACATTAACTGAAACATGTAACGGGAGCACTTCGATCTTATTCATATTTGATAAGAGATAAACATTGAGGGGAGCAAATCCACAGCAATTTGAATATTCCAAACTATCATCAAACCCATCATACCTACACACACACCTACACACCAATTTTGAATTTGAATAGCACTTAGGCGGATAAATTAGTTCATATTTCAGAAAGTAAAAAGGATTGACATTGAATTGAATTCAAATCGATTACGAGCCAAGCGTTTGTAGCTTATCGAACCCGATATATTGTAAGGTTTCGAGCTCAAATGCTCGTGTACAAAGTCAACAAGTTCACCATTTGGTTCATGGTGTTCAAATTGTATTTTAAACTCGATATCGATGTTACAAATAATTTATTCTCATATTTAACGTTTGGAGTTGCGATCATTGATGGCATTTTTGGGTACGTGTGACGTACATATACGACAAACGTTTTCCATAAGCAATTTTCTGAAAGAAAATGACTTTTACTTTCTGAATATTCATCGGATGATTTGGAATGGGTTAAATCACGATTTAGATCAAAGAAACCAATACTCGTTTTTCAATTTTACATTATTTTTCTCGCGCATGTTGATAAAAACAAGAAAATAAAACGAATTATTAATTTCCATTTAAATTGGCAATTTGTCGATGCAAAGCGTGTCTAATTGGAATTTTTCACATACGCTTTTCTTTGGCTTAATGAGTGCTTTTGCAAGTTTTCCCACACCTCATTTCGACAAACTGCATAAATAACGAGCTCCAACAACACCTGTTAATAGTACGCGGTACGGTAACGATGACACATAATAACGGCAGCAATGGCAGCAGCAGCAGCAGCGGCGGCACCAACGTCAAAAGACAATAAAAAATCGATAAAAAACGAATTTCGAATGTATGATAGATTTGCCGCGACTGAGCATTTATCAATTCCGTTCCGAAACAAAACAGCGAAATGCATAGGGAGGACACGCACGGCACGTGTTACTATGAGCCTGCTCCATTTGGATCCTTTCGAAAAACAAAACAGCAACAATAATGAAAAAAACGCACACATTGGAAACACAAACGCGCAATGAATGGAAAAAAAGCCACTTTAAGTGGCTCATAACGGGCTTGGGCAAACGAAAAGCAGCGAGCGCTCGCTTCGGTCGTATGGTACATACTAGTAAGTGCTAGAAATTGTTGCTTGTTTTAGGAGACTTCATATGTTCAATGAATAAAATACTATGTGTGACCATCAACAAAGCTCTCGTCGAGCTCGGTGTTGTGGTTGTCGTTGTTGTTGTTGTTGATTTTTTCGTTCCTTTTTCGTGTGTGGTGCACTCTTTTCCATTCGCCGTGTGTGTCGTGTGGTTTTTCTTCGCTTTCGCTTTCAATCAATATTAAAAACAACAACAAAACCAACGCAAGCAACCAGATAAATTGCTCATGGTCACAAATTATTGAATTTTGGGTTATTCAATATTTAGAGCATCCATTTCATTTTGTTTAATAATTCATCAAAAACGTTTCAAACTTGTGCACTAAGTAGAAAAACACAACACATCTATTTAGTACGGAGCGTAGTGACGGAGCTCAAAAGTGAGAAGCATGACTTAAAGTTGGAATGCAACGCAAAAAAAGCAGTCAACAGCAGCAAAAACTTATCGAGAATGCTGTGACATGCATGGAAAATTCTATTCATTGTCGCATCAATTTCCAATCGTTTATTTTCTGTCTCTATCTCTGTCTCCGCCTCTGCTTCTATTCCAGACTCGAATTTTCTTCTTTTTTATTGTTTTTGTGGCGTTTGTTTATACTCTTCGTTTGATGGAATGGGGTGTGCTGTGTGCTTGTTCATTTGCGCTTGTTGTCCAACCACATTTGTCCGCAGCAGTAATCGGCTTTAAGCATAACAATGTTTGTTCGATGTTTGTTGTTTTCTCTGTTTTTTCGCCACACAGTAAATTTGCCTTGTCGTCCGCTGCTTGAGTCCATCATGTACAGATTTTATGATATATCGTCCACCAAATGTGTCGACACACTGAGTACTTCATATCACGGTTATTTCCATTTATTGTTTGCCATTGTTTTTCTGGGAAATTATGTATCTGACTTATTATTCATAAGTCATTCTATCATAAATTGTGTGTGTGTGTGTGTGTACGGCCACCAACTTTCAACTGCGACCAAGATATGTGTGTGCTACTGTGAATTTGTCGCTTTTTTCGGAAATCTTGTTATTCATCCATTCCATCGCTGCTACTGCTGCTGCTGCTGCTGATGCTGCTGTGTTTTTTATGATTATTTATTTAAGACATTACATTTAATTTCTATAGCAAAATTGAAGCTGTTATACTCATGGGTGATTGAAGTAAATACAGAAAGCGCGAGCAAACAATTTTCCAATGACGTGACTGCAATTTTTTTTCCCCAGTGTTGTTTTGTTTCGACAGCTGGAACACATTTCTCACACCAAACAACAAAAAATTGAAATTGGATTTTCATCTGATCCGTTTATTTCTCTCGTTGGTTTGCTGTGAGTGCAAAAATGCTTTTATACTTGAAACGCGCGCACTGTGAAGAGGGTATGCGGATGAAGGATTTGCAATTGATTTTTTTTTGCTCTCCATAAAAATTCTGACAGATTTTATATGGGAAATCATTTCACTCAAGCATAATAACACATTTTATTTTCTGCAATGAATATACGTCATTTTGCAGAGAGGAAAATTGAAAAGAAAACGATTTATAACATATTGAAAGCATGAGCTTTGATTGTAAATTTACACACACAACAGTATGGAGTTTACTTTTATACTAAAGTATCATAACCAATACATTCAAATATAGTTGACATATACGAATGGGATAATGTTCATCGCAAAAGCAGATGACAGCACCAACAAATATACACAAATGAGTTGACATTTATCCCATTCGTATATGTCAACTATATTTGAATGTATTGGTTATGACACTGTAGCATAAAAGTAAACTCCATATTATTGTGTGTGTGTTGATTAAGTTAAATTGCAAATTTTGAATCCTCGCCGTTGGTGTTGCTTCATACGCAATCGGTGGCTTGAGATAAAGGAAGTATTTGATGCGCGACCTTTGGCCATACAAATTAGGAAGCCTATCGTAAATTTGTGTCCAGTGTTGGAATCCATTTGAACTATGCTAAGGCCATTCGTACAGTTCAATTGCCGGCCCGATCGGGTGTCCGATGTGAATTTACCGATATGTGTCCAATAACACAAAGAAAGGGAGAGAGAGACCAACCGCACACCGAACTTGGATAAGATAGGTGCGATGAATAAGTTATTTGCTATGTTTCATTGAAACTCCAAGCATTTGAAAGCACCCACTAATAGTAGATCCTACAATTACTGCGGTACAAAAACACATACACTCGGTTCGGTTCCCATCGTTGGTCACATATTCTTCAAGCCTCACTAACTTTTTAATTTCATGGCACTATTTATACTAACTAATTAGCAATGGCGTTATTAATTAACTCATCGATTCGAATTCAAGATGGAAAAGATTTCCCCTTAAGATGGGAATGTTTTTTTTTTTTATTTAAATATTGCAACAAATCGTTTGGATTTAAATATTTCATGTAATCCTCTACAATTATAATGGGCGGTTCCATTTTGAATATTTCATTACGTTTCATTCCAAGTCGTTGGATGTGTTATTTTTTTATTAATTTTCGATTAATTTCAATGGTGTGGTTTGTCCGAGCGGTTGGTAAAGTAGCAGAGGCGAACGCATGATGGATCACGATGTATCGAGAGAAAGAGAGAACGTATGTGTGTGACGGAGGAAGGCAACGAGCGCGCAACAGATAACGTTGAAAATTTCCGAAAGAATGCACATGAAATGAGTTCAAGGCGTTTGTACTTTTGGCTGCGATAAACGTGCGTTACGTGCCAACTATCGAACACAAGAGTATAGATATTTTAATGGTTCGGTATACTTTTTTTATGTTGTGTGTAACGAAATTATTTATAAAATTCTTTGTATAATCTTATTACGGTGTGTGTGTGTGTGTGTGTGTGCTTGGGTGAGAGATTTTGGCATGCAGCATTAACGACAGCGCAAGTAGCTTGAATCCATGCCAAGAAAGCGAGCACACAATTTATAAATAATAAATGGGTGGCCAATGGTTTGGCCTGATCGCAGCCGCGTATAATGTGTGCAATTTCAAAATTTGTTCACAGTCACACTTCATTCTTTGGCTCGGATCGCCACCACCATCAATTGGCTTTTAATCTCGACCGATGTTTTTTTCTTTCTCTTCATGTATGTCGACGAGAGAGAGAGAGAGAGAGAGAGAGAGAGAGAGGGCGTTCGGTCACCACAAATATTGATACCCGAACCGCTACCACAGTAAAAAAGGAAATTGCTTTTTCTTTTTGACGCTGACGCTGCCGTTGTTGTTAAGAATGATTGCATGAAATAAACGACCCAATTGTCCTAAGAGCCTAGCTTTAATATTCCGCATCATACGACTGGACCGTTTGACCATTGAATTATAAACCATTTTATTAGGCTTTGAATTTTCTCAGGTGTGATTTGAGCCGGAGGTGGGGGAGATATATTCTAGGCTACCAAAAGGCTAATCTAGATGAGCAAAACATATATATAGTATTTTACCTGTATCCAAGCAAATCCCCATTATCCATTTACATTTGGTGTTATTGCTTCGTCCGACAAATCACACGCAGTTCACTTCGGTCTTGCGATGATCACAACTCAGCACTGATACACGATAATAATTGTATGTTTCAATTCAGTGATATGGCGTATGTGTAAATGATGTATCCTTCACCTTTATTTTATTCAACTGACATTATAACGAAAGTAAGCGCTTCATTCGTTTGATTTTCTTTTTTTCTCTCTTGGTATCGATGCCAAACTGAAAGAGAAATCAAACAAGAACTAATCAACGGTTTTTTTTCCTTCTTGAGATGAAAACATTTCACTAATTTTGTTGAATTGGTGAAATTTTAATTTTTTTCCTCTATTTCCTCATACCCAACACAACCGTCCATGACATGGGTGTTCGGTAAGTGCGCACATTTTTCGAATTGATGCATAAATGAAACCGGAGATTCTTTTCTAAATAAAGATACGATTTCTTTGCCAACGCGCACGGTCGAAGACCCATGTCAAAAGTGTTTGTGTGTGTCATTTTGTATGTTAAATCTCGTCGACCATCACAGCACAAGTGATTTGTCGCAATGTGTCAACTTTCAGCTTTTATTCCCCGTTTGCCTGATGACGACAATGGCTCACTTACCTTCATCAGAAACCTGGACTCGATTCCACTTTTACAAATGAACAAATTACATTTTTCGTCAATCGTTGATACATTTATTTTGTGAAATAGACACCTCAATAATGTTAATGTTGTAGTTAATCTCTCTTTCAGAAAGAGAAAAACACGCACCCACACACTTAAAATTTACGACAAAGATAATTTCGATTGAATGAAAAAGTGTTTTTGCTTTCGTTTTATAAAAAAGAGTAAGAATCCCAAAAAATCTGGTTCACATTATTTTGATTGCGTATAAAATTTGATTTCAAACCGCAAATTACACTGTTTGCCGCTGTTGGTTGGGATTATAAAAACAAGCAATAAAAATAAATGAACAAATTCCGGATCGGATTAAAATAAACGGTTGTGCGCTGGCACGAACCAAACTCTTGAAATTGCTATGATAAAATAATGCGAGCCACCCGAACAGCCATTCTCTTCTCACTGTCAATGTCGACTATAACAATACAAACTTAACATCAACTTCCACCTGGTCGTTTGAAAATTGTTGTTCGTTTGTATATTCACTTTCGAAAACGGTGGCTCGCCATTGCACTCCACTCAACCGCTACACACTCTTTTTTTTCCCGTTCAATAATTAATTTTTGTTACAAATATTACGAACAAAGAATAAAACCAATGGAACTAAATCCTACGCTAGTACACATGCGAACAGCTAATACCATGTTAGCCATAGCGTAATCATACTCATACACACACATACATAGACCAAATACCATACCACACCACACCAATTTTCATTTGGACTGATTTCGATTTGTCATTGCACGGGGCAACATGGGAAATTGTGTGACACAACTCGAGTTTGTTAGTGGTCAAACCGAAGTATGGGTCACACACCGTTTCGATTTATTCCATTCAGTCGATTAATCACTTGGTGGTGGTGTGATGATTTTATGAACCACATACGAAACCAGTCAACTGGCTGACAAATATGTGGCTGTGCTTTATTGCGTTGGTTATTGCTATTGAATATTCTATCCACCAAACGTTAACGAACGAACGACGAGCAACAACAATAATAGCAGAAGCACAAACAACAGAAACATGCACGCTAACAAACAAACAGCCGTAATAATGATACCATATACAAAACGCGAACGAACAGGAATGTGGAGCGAAAAAAGGACGCAAAATCATGAAGCCGAAAAGAAAAACAATCACACACAACGATGAAGAATGAATAGTGCGGCTCATATGTCCACATTATCCACTTGTGTGTGCATGGTCATGAATATGCTCTCTTTTTCCTGTGGATACCAGGTACTTTATTTATTGTCTCTTTCGGTGTATATGCCCCATGTGCCAGCGTGTCAGTGCATCACATATCGAAATATTATTCGGTGTATGTCAAGCTAAGGATACTCGCGCATGAATTAGTGTGCTTTTGAATTGAATCATGTGGCTGCGTGTGTTAGGATATCACTTTCGATCACCACCATCCATTCCAAATGAAATGGCTTCTGTCCCGATACACACGTATCACAACATGCATTCATCGCTCACACAACGCAAACCAGCCATCACACAATAAAATGCGAATTAAATTTCTAGTATTCATGATTTTTTCATACGATCAGATAAACGCATTCGCAAAAGATTCGAGTTTAAGATTTTCGGCATTCATTCTATCTCTATTTCTCTCTCTCTCTCTCAAACACACAGATACTTTCTTCTTCGGCGGTTGGTCTTTTTTTTTCCAACACAGAGAAAAGTTCTCTCGTTTGTATATATCGTAATAAAATCAAACAATTAAACTGTGGGAAAACTCACTCCAACAAACCGAAATCAATTTGAAATTCGGACCACGTCAATACTTAATGCCGATACTTACTTCGACATAAGCATTGTTCGTTAATTCAATGTTGCTTCGTTTGAACATACACACTCACACTCATACTCATGCTCACACAACCGGAATGTGAGCAAGAGACGGAGAGAAAATGTGGAAACGAACGATCATGATATAATGAAACAATACAACCGTAATTTGAATTGGTTTTACTTTGTCCCAAGCGGAGATTTATATCTCAAAATCAAAGCTATATACTCCACTTGAATAGATTTTGGTCTTCAAAGCTTGGGCTTTTCATGGTGTCTAATCACAGGCTTTAAATCTAGCACATTTAATCCACAATATTTTTATTGTCGATAATTTCTTTTTCGACAGGAAATAAAACCAATCACAGCCATATTTAACGATGAATTTCTATGGGTTAGTTGTAGTGTGTTGTGTACTACACAACCGATGACCTTTTTTTTTTGTTTATTTAGTTTCATGAACATTCAAAGCACATACACAATCAACAAAACTTTTCGAGAGATTCGTTTCATTTTGATGGTATCAAATTGATACAAATGGAGTTAAAAAAGAAGTTAGATGAATTAAACCGCAATGTGCTGTTGATGTTTTTTTTCTTGTTGGTTTTCTGTCTGTGTTCTTGAATTAGACATTCTCTGGAATACTATGTAATCATTTAGCATATCACTTGAAAGTCAAATCAGCATTATACTCCAGGTACTCTCGCAGCGGAATCGTGCGTTTGCTATTCATATTTTGTATGAACGAGCTTTCATAATGTATAACACGTTCATGGTCATAATAGTTCCAATGCGAGATTTCCGAACTCATACATACGACACATATACACACATCCGGCCCCTTGGAGAGTGTTTTGTGTATGTGCAACGTGAAGTCAAGTGTACGTGTCAGTCGTTGTTTTCGTCGAGTGCGCTTAATTTTTCCCATCGGTGTATATATATGCGCGGTAAACATAGTTGTTGCCATCACTTCTTCATGCATCCAAATTAAAGCACGATAACCACAACATATGCGACAATTTGTCTACTCGAATTCATTTTTCCACGTATTTCACTGGCTGCTGCTGCCGCTGGGTCTTTTTTTTATTTATTTGATGTCAAATTTCGTTTATAAAATATTTTCCCGCGCCTTTAGTTTAACGATTTTTGACATGCAATCGACGAAAAAAAGAGACGGCCCAACTATTGGCTGACACATGGGAATATATATGCACACATATATATCATATTGTTCGGCATTTTCATGAAAATTGAATAAATTGCGTTAGGTCTCTATTGTAAATGAAACGCTTTCACCTTTATCGACGGAAGCAAAAAAAATGTTCAGCCCTTTACATTTCTATGGGAACATTTGTATAATTTAATCGTTAAAATAATTTTCGGATACGATTTTCAGTTTCGATGGAAATTTAAAATCCAAAAGCCTGATCAACGTTAAACACAAAAACAAAATGACACGGTTTTCTTTGATTTTTAATGAAGGGTGGCATTTTTGTCATACATTTGAACAGACGTTGACCTTTTGAAGAGAAAAAAAACATCGACAGCGTATATTCTACAGTCTGAAAAAAATGGAAAAAATATTTCAAAAGTGTGAATAGTGTTTGTTTTGGTCAAAAAAAGAAGAAAAGTTGGTCGATTGTTCGGTTGACACAGGAATTCGGCGATTGTCTCGAGACTCATCATGTCTAGCTAATGTAGACATATTTAAATATTCATTTGTTGTCTAAGTGAAAATGGGCCCGAGGCTGGTGAAGGCGAAACGTATCTCAACACGGCAACGCAATGGAATGATGACGACGAGCACGGCGACCACGACGCCTCACCGTCGTACAGCGTTAGGTGTGGCTCGTCCTTATTAAGGAGAAAAATCTTTTGGCAACGATAACTTATTTAATAACAATTCCAACTATCATTTTTGGTGTGAACCAAAAAATTTGAGCTCTCAATTGTCCAATATTCGTGACATTTATCAGGCGATTCGCCTGTAAAATATTCATAAACTTGAAACGCTTTTTATTCATCATCCCCGGCGAAAATGTTTGTACGATCTGGAAAAAAAAATTATATTACTCCCACAAAGCTGCTGTACAGCACCGAGACTGTGTATGCACTGGCATAAAAAATGGAGAGATTTTTTGTTCCATCAGCAATAAAGCTTTATTTCCTTTTAATCTTAGTTCTTTGAGCATAGCAACGGTTGCCGACTGAATAAATAACATGAAATAACATTCTAAATGTTCAATTCATTTTAATTACTGTTTGAAAGCAAAATTACTAGATATTAAATCAATGAGGAGAGAAAATGTAACGTGGAAATCATGAAAACGGAGGAGAAAAGGCGGAAAGACACGGAAAACTGCGTAAACGGTTTCTTTCGTTGTTGTACGAATATTTTTCAATTTTGTTTTGAATGAATGGAGGTCAGAGAAGTGGGTCGTGGCACACATTCTAAAACGTCAATTGTTTGAACGCGCCCGGGTTCAGTTGAATGAAGATAATAACTGTTGATGAATGTTACGTGTCACGTGTGAACGGAATGAAATAACAGAAAATAAAACCGGAATCGATGAGAGAAAATCGACGATTCCAATATTTGTACAATGATGATTTGATGATAGGTCGTTACTTTATTTACTTGGTTCGGTTTTGTTTTCTTTCATACATTGTCTAAAGGTATGCAAGTTGGGTTTACTAACGGTTCGAATGTAAATGGCAATTAATGACAATGCCAAAAATTAAATTACATTCCATGGAAAAATATTATTATTTTTTGCGACTCGCCCCCGGACAACATCAGTCGGTGACGGTGTCACATGCACACAAAATTGATTGATTGTGTGCGTCGCTTTCTTGAGTTCGATTGATTATTTTTATAAATGTCTTGTAGTCCGTAGACAGCGAAAATATTTTTACTTCTAGTCTATTTTCGACAGTCTTTCGGCTCAAATACTGTCTTCAATGTCGCGTTGTTCGTATATCATCAACGCTGTCGTCGTCGTTGGCGTCGAATCGACATGAACGTGAACGAAAAACAAAAATTTTCTTCTGTAATATAGGCCTGATTCCATTATGGTGGGTAATTATTTTCTCCTGTTTGGTGATCGAATTCTTCATCACCTCGAAAATTTGTGATTTTCAGCATTCAATCATCGTAAACATCTATTACGCGTCAACCTCCCCTCCCAGCAATGAGTATTACTTTTCCGTACACAACGTGTCAAGGGAAAGTATAGGAATTGGTCCCGAAAACTTTTTTCGCAAAATTGGTTTAGATCATCATAAAAACTCATGAAACGCGTAGAAAACCACTTTTTGAGACACTTTTCCGTTCGTGTGCCGTCGTCGTCGTTGTCGTCGTTGTCGTCGTTGTCGTCGTCGTCGTAGCTGTTTGTAAACACGATAACTCAAAAAATAATTGAGATAATCAAAATCTGGAAATGCCAAAAGTTTTGTATTCGAAAAACTTAGTTTAAGTTCGAAGATGAGCCATTTTCGATTTGATCCTGGGGTACTTGCCCTAAGAAAAACCTCAAAAAATTTACACTTTTGTATGGGAGGTACCCGTAAATCGACTTCGATTGGCTTCAAACTTTCTGGGATTTCATTTTTCGGAAGAAAAATAAGATTCTGAAAGTTTGAAACCAATCGGAATCGATTTACGGGTACCTCCCATACAAATTTTTTGAAATTTCGACTAAAATTACCGATTTTTGGACAATTTTGT